CCACCCTCCACACCGCTGCCTGGCCCCAGCCGGGCTTCCGAGCATCCCGTGGGCTCCCCAACATCGGCAGAGCCCTCGAAGGGGACCCCGAGGGCTCCGGGGGGGTGGATCTCTGTGGAAGGCGGTTTTGGGTCGAACCGGGGGGAAATGGGGAGGGGGCTGATAAAGTGCCGGCACGGCACGGGTTCTCTCGGTGTGTGGTTTTCTGTTGGGGTTCAGAGGGGTTTTGTTGTGCTGCACTGGGGCGGAAATGTTTCCCATGAGAATGGAAAAAGGGAGAAATGACAGCAGAAAAATAAATCGTTATTATAGATGGTTTTCCCTTCCATGATTTTTCGAGCAGAGTAAACCCCTGCCCGTCTCTCTGCTGGCCGCAGAGCTGGACAAGAGCTTTTCCAGCCTCGTGGGGTTGAGGTCAGGTCCAGGCTGAGAGCTGTGTTTTTGACAGCCCTTGGTCCTGGAGTCGCGCTTTGCCTTGCTCATCCCAAAGGTCACTCGGTTTATCCCAAGCCTTGGCCCTGGGACCGCAGGCAGACACGAGAGACCCCCAGTTTTGTAACTTTTAAGCCCAACTCCTGTTTTGGGGCAAAGGGAGGGGAAAAAGCTCTTTGGAGTCTGTCTGCCCATGGGCTCCTGGCCCAAGCGAGGACCAGCCCTGGGGTAAGGTTTGGGGTTTTTGGGGGGCAGCTGACGCCCACCTGATTTTCTGGAGGGTGACAGATGGAGGAGCTGCTGGAGCCCCCCCCAGGGCATGGGCTGGGGGGCAGAGGATGCCCTGGGGCCACATCCCTCACCTGTACCGGATCCTCGGCTTTTCTCTGCCTGCCGCACGCTGGGGGAAGGCGGGCAGGGAAATGTGGGGGTGTCTGGGGCTGTTTGCCAGGGAGCCAGTGCCACAGGGCGAGCACAGGCAGGGATGTGGTTGCTTGAATGATTTGAGCAGGAAAAAAAACGTGTGAATGAGCCATTTACCACTGATTAAAAATAACGCCGAGGTGGTGCCCTGAGCTGGCAGCAATTTTCCTTTCTGCTCATCTGTCTTCTCCGCCTGACCTTGGTTTTGGGACGAGGCTGCGATTGCTCTGCTGCGTCTCCCCCCTCCGCAGGCCCTGGCAGGCACGGCTCCAGCTCTTCCCCCTGCGTGCGCCCAGCCCCGCTCGCCGATGCACAGATTTCCTTCTCCCCCGCTCCCTCCCTTCCTCCTCCCCACCTTTCCCTGCAGGAGCCCTGCTGTCCCATCTGCTGCCGCGTCAGCCGGTGCCATCCCTCCGCGGCTGACGCACGGTGGCCCCGGGGCCATGGCACGAGCCAAGGCCATGCTGGGAGCCCCGGGAGGGACAGGCAGCCAGGGCTTGCCCAGGAGTGGGGCTGTGAATGGAGGGGCTTTGGAAGGATGAGCTTTGCTGAAGGATAAGAAAGTTTTGGTGTGTTTTGTTTTGGGGTTTTTTTTAAGGTGTTCACAGCCTGTATTAACAGGCACCGAGGTCTGGGGGAAAATTTGCTTATTAGCAAATCTATTGCTTATTAGCTCCCTCCTCTAGCATTTGGGAAGAGGGATGGCCACAGAAATACCTGTCTGTCTTGCAGCCCCTGCAACCTGCTGAGCCTCTGGCCAGGATGAGATGAGTGCTTCCACAGGCACTCAAATCACCAGTGGGCAAGATCTGCGATGTTCAGCCCCAAAATCATGGGACATGTGTGGTTTGGGGGCTTTTACTGCACCCCTCTCCAGCCCCTCCTCTGTGGAGGCACCTCAGCACCTTTTCCTTCATCCTGGTGCCTGTGTGTGCCACCCTGGGGACAAAAAGTGGCTTTGGAGCCACTCCTCGGGGGGTGGTAGACCCTGGGTGATGCACCGGTACCTGCTCGGAGCCATCACGGAGACGGGTAGGGTGGGGGGCTGTGGGTGGATTTGGGGGGCACAGGACCAGGGAAGGGGTTTAGGAGGGAAGGGTGATGCTGAGCAAGAGGCTCCCTCCCGCCTGGGGGGCTGCACAAGGGCTGTATCCTGCCTGGGGGCTTTCCCAACGGCTCTCTCTCCCTTGGGGAGGGGATGCAGCCCGGGGTGCTGGGGCTTGCTGGCTGCTGTGCGGACACACCAGTCCACTCTGCACTGGGAGGATTGCTGGACTGGGAAAAGGGAGCTGGAGTCATCATTTTCTTAGTCATCCTCCCTGAAGGAGAGGGTCACCTGGGGTTTTCGGTCCCTTCCCCGTTCCTGCTCGCAGCCATTTATCTCTGAACTGCGGCAGGGAGAAAAGGCACCGTGACAGCCGATGGCTTTAGGTGGTTTAATATCCGTGCTCCCGGCGTCCTCCAGCCTCTCTGTGCACACCCGCTGCTCTGTCAATAGGGATAACCGGGACAGATAACGCTGCTCGCCTTCCCCCGCTCAGCTCTGCGGTTCAGGGAGGCCCGCGAGGATTTATTCAGGCACGCTGGCTCCAAGCTGTCCACCCCGCAAGAGGAGAGCTCCCGTTCCCCTCTGGGGCTCAGCACAGCCCTGGGGCTTTAACAGCATCTTTGGTTCACGCACCTGATCTGTGGCTTCAAGGTTAAGAAGGAAGCATTCAGACCTTTCACTTCTCCTTGTCCTTCTTTTTGCTCTTTCTCTGGCTGGTCAGTTCGCTGAGCTTCTTGTCCAGGCGCCGCTGGAGGTGGGCTCTCTTGGCGGGGTCCAGGGACTTGTCCTTGGAGCCGCTCCCGGGATAGAGAACCCCCTCCCTGCTGATCCTCTGCCGCGCGTGGGCCCTGGCCTTGTCCCCGCAGCCGTGAACCTGGCGGAGAGAGAACGGACATGGGTGGCAGGTGGGAAACAGGGCGGCCGTCACGTACGGGAGAATCGGGCGATTTTATTCCCAGAGCCTGGCATTCCTTTCCACCTGCTTTGCACCCCCCTAAACCATGGCCCATTTATTTATAGCTCCTCTAACAGGAGACAGAAGAGAATTTCCCTCGGGAATCTGTGCAGCAGGCAAATCATCCTCTTAGGCAGCTGAACTCTCTCCTTCCCAAAATTAACCACCTGGGGAAGCTCACACCCATCGTGTGAGCAGCAGGATCTCCTACGGCTCTCGCACAAGAGCTAGAGGTAAAGCTGAGCTCCCCATTATGTCTCTGTAATGCAGTACAACGGGGGAAAAAGGAGGGACCCAGGAAAGCTGGCTTGGGAAACAAGAAGAGACCTTTGCAGCCACAGCTCTGCCTCTTCAGTGTAATTAGATCTGCCTTCTTGGAACAAAAAAAGCTTCATAACGCTAATTCTGCGCAGGCAAACCTTCTCCAAAACCAGGCTGTGCCGGAGCCCAGGCTTCATTTAAAGTGCATTAAGCCAAGTTCAGCACCATCCTGAATCACTTCCACCTGGTCTAAATTAAAGATGCTAACATCTTACCCCTTCTGCTTGCTCCATCCCAAAGCCATCTGATGTTTGCAGGAACTGTAGGTGATCTGAGCAGCCCAGCCCGTCCTTCGGAGCCATGACAAACCCTCCTGTCCCTGTCTGTGCTGCCGGAGCAGCCTGGCTGTGGCCAGGAACAGCCGTGCACGGCACGCGGCACATAGCTCCGGGCCAGGACGGGGACTGCCGAGCCTGCTGCCCCGTCCAACCCAGCTGCAGCTCACAGACCCTGCAGCACAGGTTTGTTCAGTGGGGTCTGCTGGGCTGTACTGGGAGGGGTTCAGTGGCTGGGGGCTGCTAAGGGGGGAACGTGAGCTCTTTCTGAACAGGGACCCCCCGCACACAGAGGCTCCAGCCCCTCTGAGATGGCTCCAGGTGTGGGCAGGGGGTCCCAGATTATTTCACATCAAAGCCTGGTAACATCTGGAAGAAGGGCTGCACTTTAAAAAGGAAGAAAAACTGGTTGATGTGGATTTTATTCTTTCAATTGTTTCTTGCTGGAGTCCTCATTACAATTCAGCAGGGAGAGGCGATTCTGCAGGAAATAAATTTATATCCCAACGGGACCGCAAATGACCATAAACACAACTATTCTTTGCCATGGAAACAGATAGGACTTGACATGGGGAAAATCTGTGCCGAGGATTTATAGGTCAGCTCGCTAAACGTTGCTAAGCTCTGGGAGGCTCCCGCGGCGAAGAGCCCTGCCGGGGTGACGCAGGATGAGGGCGATGGGCGCAGGAGCCTGCGGCTGAGTGGAAAATCATCTCCTCTCAGCCTGCGCACCCAGCACAGCCACCACGTCAGCTGCCACAGGGCTCAAACCCCGGGGCCAGCTTCCCGTGAAGCATCACACTGCAAACCCCAGGGCTTAAACTTACCCGCCTGCCTCTGCACCCCAACAAGAGACAAGCCTGGCACCAGTTTAACCTGGTTTTCCTTCCTTCCTTCCTTCCTTCCTTCCTTTCTTCCTTCCTTACTTGC